TTTGTCCACTTATATTTGTTGGAAATTGTATGTTCTCACCCATCTTTTGTCCACTTACACTCCCTTGTTGGAAATTGTGTGTTATAGTAAAAAGTATTAAAAAACAAAAGGAAATGTTGTTGACGCCAAAAAGTGGTTTCCTGACTTTGAGGGTCAACTTAGTAATTTTATGCCTTCGGTATCCTTGATGCCTCGGTAGTCAACGTGATCTGCAATATGAGCAAACGCACGGTAAGACCTAGGGCACCGGTGTGGTACCGGCCGAAGGCTCTCCGATGCTTAAGTAAGTTCAGGAATAGAAAGTTCAACTGACAGATCAATATGCTTGTATGCCGTGAGTTCTGATTACCTCTATTTTGGGGTAGTTGGCCTCTTTTATAGGCCTTGGGAGGTGTGCATTTCGTTGATAATTTCGATGTGGGACTGTGGACATCGCTGGGGAGCATGCCACGTGTCCCACGAGAGGGTGTTGCCCTAATGGGGCGATCGGTAGGTAGGGTGCCGAGGGCGTCCCTGACCAAGCTCGATTTCTTCCACGTGTCTCGTCCTCATTGGCAGTTCATTTTGTGTATAAACAAATGTAAATGAATAAAAAAAAGAGTGAGAAAACCAGCACTCTAAATTATTCTAAGGAAATATTTGCTTTGCCTTTTTATTTTATTTTTTCAAACAAATCAACAATGGCATGGGTAATCTGAATCCATTTTATTTGTTTTATAATCTGAATATATTTTATTTATTAAAAGAGACGACGACAATTTGTACACAGATAGACGTTATGAACGAATACCCTAATGTGTCCAAACAATTAAACCTGCAATTACAAACATTCTTTACTTGAGCATCCATATTCCATACGCCCTTCCCTTCCATATGCAGCACAATACTCGCGGTTTCTCATATATTTCTTTTCTATTTGGTCCCCAATATTTCTACCTAATTGCTATATCACCCCTCTCGCACCACGTTACACCGCCCACAGAGCGAGTATTGAACTCAATGCACTCGATCAAGTACACAAGACCCCAGGCCCCTCCAATTTGGCGAGGCGTATTTGTTTCCCTCGTTTTGTTTGTTCAAAATTCAAAAACGACCCAACAACTCCATTCATCCTCTCTCTCTCTCTCTTTCTCTCTCTCTCTCTCTTCTCTCTTTCTCTCTTTCTCTCATTGCATAAATCACCTAAAAAAGAAAACCAAGAAGAAGCTAGGGTTTTCTTTTTCTTTTTCTTTTAATTTTCACAATCGATGTTATGCTCGCTGTTGGACCGTGAATTAGGGCTTCTCTGCAGATCGGTGTTGAGGTTTCTTGACAGGTCGGTTTCGGGAGCTATGGGCTGCTTCTTTGGTTGCTTTAGGGTCAAGGACGATCGCCATCTCCGCTCTCGGCCTCACCTCGTCTCCCAATCCTCGCGTAATAATCAGACGGTAAGGTTTCCGTTCGGTTCCCGAGAAAATGTTTTGTCTTCTCAGTGTCTATTTTTACTGTTCTGTGAATTATTCGAAATTTTGTGAAATTTTGAGGAAATCAGAGTCAATTGAGTACTAATTTTGCGCTTGATCTTGAATTAGCCTAAGAAAAAAAAATTTAGATCATATAAATTTTCAATTTTTAATTTGGTTGCTGAGGATATCATAGAAATTGGAACCAAAAGCATTTCAATTTACTATTGTTTTGTTCTATTTCGTTTTATTAGCTACCAACAGTCGATTAGTGTTTCTTTTAGTTAGCTTACAAACAGTGGATGAATGAGTTCTATATAATATAACACTGCTTTCTTGTTTTCCATTTCCTTTATGTTAATCAGGAAGTTGTGATATCTCAAAACCGTTTGTCGTCTCTATTTTCAGCCGAAGGTATATATATATATATATTTTTATCGCATATCAACCTTTTTCTTCAATCTGAGTCATAAATTTTATTGCTGAATTTACTTCTTGTTTGGTTTGCATATAACTCTGAAAGAGAGAGAAGGTTCTCCAAGCAAAGATAGGGAAAGTCCATGTTATGGGTCTCCACAAATTGACAAGGAGCTGAGGAATGAGGTATGAGTTTGGAAGTATTGGAACCATAGTCTTGTGCATTCCGGCTTTTTACTATGGCTTGTCCCTTATAAGCTAGAACATTGACAAATTTAAAGACCTTTTGTCCTGCGCACAGTGAACTTGAAAATGAATATAGCACTTAAGATATAGATTATTTAGATGGTAATGCTAAAGAATAACATAATTCGAATCTGATAGGGAGATTTTTGCCAATTAATTTGTTGGGTGTTTTAGTGAAGAAACAACATCAATTCATGTTGCTCCATTATTGTAATGTGATATACTGCAACAAAGACGTTCTTTTCCAGTATCATGGTGTTTAAGTGAAGAAACAATACCAATTCATGTTGCTTTATAAGTTAGACAGTGTGACATTCAATGGAGCTTTAATTCCATTTTTGTAGTAGATTTAATCTCATTGTTACAATTTGCTGGTCACATTTTTGTTTGAATTTCTTTTACTGTTGAAAAATATTTATTTTACTTATGAACCGCACCTTGTTCTGCAGGCCAAGTTTCTTAAAGCTTGTGGTACGTTAGTAGAGACCCCAGTTGAAATTCGGAAGGCATCTTCAAAGTTAAATGGCTCACCCCATCATGATAGAGGTTCAGAGCCTCCAAAGTTCAACTCATGGCTTCCCAACACATCCATTAAACAACTTCAGCAGGAGGATCAACCAGATCAGCCCCTTACGCCTATTAAACTTGGTGAAGAGTGGGGAAAGGGATCACGTCCTTCAGAGCATACACCTAGCAGGTTCTACAACTGTATTGAATGCTTGAAAATTAATAGATTTGCTATTTATAGATGACTTGGGAGATCGTTTGCTAAACCATAATTTCAATCTGACATCGTTTAGCATTGAAATTTTTTTCGGTTTCCATAGGGAAAAATCGGTGCCAATTTGAAATGGTCTGCATAAAATAAATTTTTTTTTTTTTTTGTCTTTTTCCGGTGTAATGATCTGGACTTTCAGGAACCTTTTAGATTTAGTAAACATACTTGATTCGTGGGACTTTCGTCCTTATATTTTAGATTTTATTTCCTTGGAATAGCATAGCTTCTGACACTAGTCCAATTTATTTTTTTGAAATGGTAGTATGTCGAACCAAAAGAATACTGGAGGAATCTCTATCAGCTCTACTGAAGGCAGTGGAATAGTTACTGATTCGACAGTCAAGACTGGGAGTATTTCAACTCCAGATGTCCAGTGCAGGAGCAAGGCTGTTCGTTTTGAATGCGATATCGATACAAATTCCTCCAGAGGTTCTTCATCCGAAAATTATAGCCGGAGTGCGAAGGTATCTGAAACTCCAGGAAAACAGAGTATATCAAAGCCCTCAGTTTATCCAACCCCACTAACTCTGTCTGATGAGATGCAGACACCAGGAACTGTTTTCCCCGCAAACCTGGGAAATTTTCCGAATGGAAAGGCTCGAATCAGGTCCCAGTATGTCTATGCCGTGCAAAACCCTGTAGAGGGCATCTCTCAGTGGAAGTTAATGAAAGACGAAGATTCGAACTCACAGGGACTTTCAGGTGAGCTAAGAGAATCTCTTAACCAATCCGGAAACGCAACCCCTATATCAGAAGTGGGGGCAAAAGAAACTTCATCTGGACAAGAGTTCAATGTGGAATCAAGTTTGTCCTCCTGGCTGAAACCAGTAAATCGAGATGACAACAACCAAAACTTTGGTTATGTTCCTGGCCGAACTCGCCATTTTGGAAGAACTCCTGGGGACAGGCCTATCATTGGGCTTGTTGCTACTCACTGGAATGAAGATGAGCCTACTCGTATCTCGCCGAAGTGGTGGGACGGCAACGGGATCCCAAACTCAACTAATAAATACAAGGAGGTATGCCAAAGTGCTTTCTATTTCTTTTTGCAGCCTTGAATCTTTAAAGTAGTGTTCTGAACTCTGAAGTGATATTTTAACTTTCAGGATCAGAAGGTGAGTTGGCATGCAACACCATTTGAGGAGAGGCTAGAGAAGGCATTGTCTGAAGAAAGTTTCATCTCTCAGAGGTATTGAATTGCTCTGTGTTCTGGCAAGGGTGTGATTTTTGTCTAAAGAAGCATTGATTTGCCTTAACAGCATTTGTTTTTGTATGCAGAAAACACATTGAGGGAAAGCCAATTGTATTCGATGAGACTGAGGAGAGTGATACTGCCCTTTCTCAGTTGCAATCTTCATCCCAGCCAAAATCAGTGGTTTCATTCTGATGAAAAGATGGTGGTTTTATCCCATTTTGTTGCTTGTGTTACATGAGTTTTGTTGTTGAGGAAGTCAAGCTCATTAAAACTTAAATTTGAAGTTTGCCTCTTGGGGGTATTGGGCAACTTGTTGATTGGCTTGCATCAAGCAAGCCACTGAACGATTAAAGCGGATTCTGGAAATTTTATTACTGTGTCAATATAGTCATGCTGGCAGCATCCTAAGCTGCTTAGAATGTACAGAATTATCGGAAATCATATCTCAGTGTTTTGGACTATTTATTTATTCTTCAATCTCTATTGCTGTCATTCTCTGTTCATTTGAAAACATTGCAGTTTGTGAGTAACTAGTGTAGTTCGGAGCATGGTTATGTGATATAATTCGTTTATGTGTTATAATATAAGTGGTGTAACTTGTTTATGTGGGAGTATTGATATTATACTCTGTCATTCACTCATATTATAATACGTGATTGGAGTAAATCTTTTTAACCACTTGAACTACAAGCTTTTTGTATCACTTGGTTGTATTTTAGTATCATATAATAATTTCTCGGAATTTGGTGTTCTGAAGGCAAAAAAAATATGATGTGATTGTCACACAACTCAGGACCCATCGAAACCCAGAAAATATGAATTGGGTTGGGCTCAGAGAACCTAGGTCCACTAAATAGGCCCAAAATACATAACACTGCAGCCCTAAAACCCAGAAGAAGAAAAAAAAAAACTGAAATATAAATGGAAGCTTCCGGTCGGCGTTATGTAGAAGGGCGCGGGTGGAGCGGCTGCTGGTGTGTGAGAAATGGAGTTCAGAGGAATGCTTTGCTCGAAGCGGCATTTAATCAAACACCATGTAGACACGAAAATAACTGAGGGGACCGTGATTTCCCATACAATTTTATAGTTTTCAATCTGAATGCGTTTGGTTACTTTGCTGCTCGTATGACATCTCCTCTGTCTCTCTTTCTCTCCCCACTCTGCCCACCTCGAACCCTCGGGGCCTTATGATGATGTCTGAAGGCTCCACTTCGCTTTGAATAGTTTTTTTCCTTAGGTTTGATTAATTTATTTTCGTATTTTTTGTTCCATGATTTATGTTCTTGTTGGTTTTTATTTTCTTCAATAACCATGAAATATTTACAATTTATTTTGAATTTTCATACAAGACAGTGCCTGTGATGTAAGGGTTGGTTTTCTATGCAAGCTGGGTTTAGAATGGCTTTAAATTTCAAAGACCAATTTTGTGTCTGGCCTGGATTTTAGTCAGATTGGGTTTAGAATGGCTTTAAATTTCAAAGACCAAGTTTTTGACATTGTCATTTAATATAATTTATACAGAGTTGAGGTAGAAAAAAGAATATTAGAAGGTGATGATCACTTTAAACTTTCAATGGTTTTGATGATATAATCCTAGTTGAATGCATGTATTCTGGAGACTTTAGGCACCTTGGTCCTTGGGGTCCCCATAAACCAAAGATGACTGTAGATAGGCCACCATGATTGGCTTGCCCCAGTCAAGGATAATTAAATTTTCACTGCCCCTTGTGATGATGAGCTAAGAGCTTATCGAAGCAAAAGAACTAGTGACCAAAGGCAAATTGGATACCTCTTTTTCATTAAAGAAATGCATTCTTCTGAGAGATAGAGGAAGAGCTAGAGAGTCTATATAAGAACTGGGGACCAAAAGCTGTTCTGCACAGACACTTTGTAAGTTCTTTGTTTTTTCAATTTTCAAAAGAATCAGAATGGTAGTAAAGGTGTATGGCCCTTTCTATGCTTCACCTAAGCGTGTGCTAGTGTGCCTTGTTGAGAAGGAGATTGAATTTGAGACCAGCCCCATTGATCTCTTCAAGGGAGAGCACAAAGACCCTGAATTCCTCAAATTGCAGGTTAGTTTTAGCTATTAATTTTCAATTGTTAATTGTGATTGCTCCACTCATACTTATCTCTTTGGAAATTATCTATATATATGATCTTTGCATTGTTTTGTCTTTACATGTAGCCCTTTGGACAAGTTCCTGTCATCCAAGATGGGGATTACACTTTATATGGTATGCTGATTTTTTAATTTTATATTAACATTCATTGACTTTAATCCCTTTTTGCTTGTTCTCATGATACATATTAAGTCGTTCAATAATAATGTTCTTGTGTTTTCTTTGTTAGATATATGTTGAAAATTCTGACAAGGGTTAGTATAGTTGAAATTTTCTATTTCTAAACAGTCTAACATGTTATGTTCTTAACTTATAACAATGTTGATGAAAACCACATCGATCATGCAGATTTTCATTTGAAGTTGAACGTGTTTCAGATTAGAAGCCTGATAACTAAGTTGCCAGGGTATGTAGTATACACCCTGGTAATTATGTAGTATGTATTTACTTTGCTTTGAACTTTTGGGATGAATTTCCTAAATCTGCAAAGCTTTGCAGTCATTACAGCAGGATATATAATATTTGGACATGTTTTTTATGGGTAAGATTTGACTATATAATATCCAGGGCTAGAGTATAACTACATATGGCATTACATTTTGGGGCTTTACTTCAGTTCTTTATTTAGAATTGTGTGCAACATCCAGCAAACATTGGAATGTTTAGGGAGAGAGAAATTTATGCAAATTGTTTCATGACAAACTTGTTATCTGGATTTTTTTTGTCTGCATCAATGTAATGATCTAACAAGTTCTTTGATAAAATTGTCAAAATTTGATATGCAGAATCACGCGCAATCATAAGGTACTATGCAGAAAAATACAAGTTCCAAGGGACTGATTTGCTGGGAAAGACAATTGAGGAAAGAGGTCTTGTGGAACAATGGCTAGAGGTTGAAGCAAGCAACTATCACCCACCACTAGACAACTTAGTTATTCAGATTTTGTTTGCCCCAGAATTGGGTCTTCCTTCAGACCTGAATTGAATATGTTAGGTTCTTATTTTTATTCTTCTCCATAAGGAGGTATATATAAGAGTTTACATGAGTGCTTTACAAGGAATTAGATCCAGTAAAAGATTAGGAAAGTATCTCCTAATTATACAATGATTTGACAACTATATAAAATAGGAAAGTAAATCCCTTAATTAATCAAGGAAATAAATTTTCTTGATTAATTAGGAGACTCACTTCAACACTGTTGCCATGGAAACAATTATATATCTGCAGAAGTTTTCAAGTATATATTGGATTAATTTTGCTCAACTCCATTATAAAGATTTGTGTCTTTTTTGTAAGGAATTATGTAGTGGGAATTTTCCTTGGTAAATGATTTGTTACTTGTCTTGTTTGTAAGAACTTGATTGGGACTTCTCCAACATTTCTACAGAGTATTTTAGATCATAAGATTTACAGAAAGCCAATTAACTTTGTTTCTTTTCTTTTCTGCATCTCATAGATTGCAGCCTTATGCAAAATCTCGTCAAACTTAAACATTTTCTTATCAAATAACTAATAATTTATTTATTATAATCAGACAGAGACGTTTAAACTAAAGCCTAACTAAGAATGGTACCCAATCAATGTTAAAGCTCATATCCTCCATGATGATTTTGCTCATCTGATTTCGATACTCTTTAGCATATCATTCAATGAATAAGCTAGGAACTGTAGATTTTATCTATCTTTATGCCGATCAATTACTAAGTCAAGTCAATTGAGGATGGCAACCGGACGGATTTTCCTCCCACATCCCTATCCTTGCAAAAATTTATCATCCTCATCCTCTGCCTAGTCCCCGTCAAGGATTATCCATCCACACAAACATTGGGGACCATATTCCCCATTGGGAATCTATTTCGATCCCTATTCATAAAGAGTTGGCTAAAAGTCACAAATAATACATGTAGTTTTACCTTGATGGCTAGGGAGACCATCTTTATAGACCAACTTGTGCACCATCTCACAAATAGGGGTGAAGCTGAATACAAAATGAAGGACACTTTGAATTCCTTGCTCCGAAACTTTAGCGATCAGATTCAGCACTAAATATACTCTTCCTACTTAAGAATTTCATGATCATCATTATAAATTATAATATGAGAAATTTTTAAGAGTCTTAACACCACATGTAATATTAATTTATCTTATTTTTAATATGTAATTGGTGGAAGATTTATGCTTTACTATATAAGTATCAATAAATATATACGTACAATAATAATATTGGGTTGGTAGACATATGTTTCATTATCTTCCTGTTATCTTGGCTGGGCAATGGGCAACTTGGCAATATCTTCTCCTCTCCTTTCTACAATAAGTATTTTCTAATTCTCTCATTTTCTCTATATATCTTTAATTATAGTTTTAATTTAAAATTGAATATTCTAGGGTTTGGTTAGGGATTGAATTATAATTTTGTGATTTTGTTGAAATTAATTAGGGCTTTCATTTTAGGAATTTTGTTGAGATGTTTCAATGTTTGATTTGTTGTTTGTTGATATTGTTGAATTAAGAATCGGCTTTGAAGCACCGTAGCTGATGAGTTTCTTGTTGATTGCATGACCCTCCACATTGAAAGAGAGTTTGCTATTAGTATCACTAATACATCGATAATTGAGGAATTTAAGACTTTTAAGTCTCGCAAGGTAAAATTTTAGATTTGATTAGTGATGTTTTGTGTTGCATTGCATTTACTTGTGATTTTTATTTTTGTTGTTAAGCTTTTATTTATGTATAGATGCATTTGAGGGTAAGGCTCATTACATCCCCTAATAGGTGTACTTTTTTCCACTTATTAATAAAATTCACTAGTACCGTCGACTTTAGTATGTAAGTTTCGTCCAATTGGCTTTTCAATCCTAGATCCGCCACTGACCCAAGCGACATCAGAGTTTCTTCCAGCTGCTGTTCATCAAGCCAACCACCGCAGCCACTATGTGTGATGCAGGCTGTCCCACCATGACCAAGATCTCCAAACGGCAGGGCCAGCGCCGCCACCAGCCATCGGAAACCAAAGCAGACGACGATACACACACCCATATCCTTTTATCAAAATAATTGTCTATAGAATCCATATCGTATATTGCCTTGGCCTTGGGAATTTGTAGAGGCTGTTCCTGGAGAATTCGTGCATCATTGAACTAGACCGACATTGCTTATTATCCGACTAAAAGTTGGTTAGTTAGCATCATAAAAGTAAAAATATCAATGTGGTCCTTTCAAATCTTATAAATTCTTATGATATAAATCTTTTAAATTCCAAAGGTAAAAAATCCTAATTATAAAAATCTTTAAAAAAAAACTCAATTGAATACACCTGCCTTAGATTAAGGTATGGGTGTGGTGAGTAATTTGAGTGCATGATTAATGGCTTGGTATAATTCATATTTTTGGGTTGAGCCTGGACTTTAGAAAGGTTGGTGGCTTACTACTGAGAACTGAGAAGGAACCTCTGCCAGTTTGGGCCTAAATCGGCTTCTGTCTTTGAATAACCTACAAAAAGATCATAGATCTTTGCATCTGATTTATCAACAGTTTTTTTGTTGTTGTTGTTGTTGTTGTGAAAATTAGCGATAATCCCTTTTTTCCTCCTAACAAATTGAACAAATTTACAACAGGTTTCTATGAGTTATTCCCTCATAATTACTTTTAAAAAATTAATCGTAGATTATAGATGTGAGTGAGGCTAGTTGATCAAAATAGTACTTCCACCCTTCGCGAGTTGGATTGTCATTTATCATAATTTAGACTATTAAACACGGTTGAGAGGCCCATACATATCACTCATTTGAACTTTGGCATCTCATATTAGTGAATGTGCCCAAGGTACCCATACAAGATATTGAATCAGAATCCAAAAATATTTGAGTAGCACATTGTTTTCATGCTATTTGGGTTGGTGAATACAAAACGCATTGTTTTCATGCTACATTTGATTTGGAGCATACAAAACGCATTGTTCTCATGCTATTTCTGAACCTCACTTGAGTGCATGAATGGTGGCACACTGATTTTCTGTTTCTTGTCACTGCCTCCCCAAAAAAATTCCGATTTAATCTATCAAGATCCCCACAAATACTCATAGGCAATTTGACAGTTTGCATAGCATAAATAGGAATAGCAGAGGTGACAGCTTGGATTAGAGTTGCTCTTCCTGCAATAGAAAGTACTTTACTTTTCCAGGATGCAAGTTTAGCGTGCATTTTCTCCACAAGCTTGCAGTAGGTGGCCTTATTCACCCTAGTGTGCAACAGAGGCATCCCCAAGTACTTGCCTAAATTATTTGTGAGAGGTGAGCCAGAAATAAAACTGATTTCAGCCGCTAACTCCTTATTAGTATTCGGGGAACAGTAGATAGCTGATTTCTCAAAATTGACAATTTGGCCCGAGGCTTTGCAGAAAATCTCAAGGCATTGTTTCATGACTTTAGCCTGCTGCGTGCTCGCTTCAGCAAAAAGAATCAAGTCGTCGGCGAAGAACAAATGGGATACAGCAGGCCCAGTTCGAGCAGAATTCACTGGTTTCCAAGTACGCTTCTCTACAGCATCTACAAGAAATATCTCCTTACGGATACAAGCAATATCCACCTACCTACTACCCACTAGCTACTCAGCAGTCTTCAAAGAAGAAAAAGACAAACAACTCAATGACACCCCAATTTTTTCTTTCTGCACTTCATTTTCTGAGTGCACAAAAAATCTTATGAGCTTATCTACTTTGGAGTGCGGAGGCCAATTATTGGACCACTTGGTATGAGCATATCACACCTTAACAGCTATAAGAACTAAGAAACCATAATCTAGAGTACTCTGCAGACTGATATCTAAATTCTTGGTTTGTCACTGAAACAGTAAGAATGGTGGTAAAGGTGTATGGCACTGCCTATGCTTCCCCAAAGCGTGTGCTAGTGTGCCTTGTTGAGAAAGAGGTCGACTTTGAGACCATCCCCGTTGATCTCTTCAAGGGAGAGCACAAACACCCTGAATTTCTCAAATTGCAGGTGAGCTTTTGCTATTAATTCAATCTTTTGTGATTGTTTCTGCTCATCATCTCTTTGGAAATCATATTTATCATCTGTATATATGACGGTTGATCTTAATTTGTATTGCTTTTGTCTTTAAATGTAGCCCTTTGGAACAGTTCCTCTCATTCAAGATGGGGATTATACTTTATATGGTATGCTAAATCTTTAATTTTGGGATCAAAGTTAGCATTACATTTCATTTTTCTTGATCTTTTAGCATACCATTTCGTGGGTTTGCTTCAATTCATCATTTGAATCTGTGTAGAGCACCAAATTGGGATTGTACTGTTTGGGAAGTAAGAAAGTTTTGAATTTTTTTTCTTTGACAATAGTGTTCAGTGGTTTCTTATCAGCATCATCAACATAATGATCTAACAAGTTCTTTGATAAAACTGTCTTTGATCTGCAGAATCACGCGCAATCATAAGGTACTATGCCGAAAAATACAAGTCTCAAGGGACTGCTTTGCTAGGGAAGACAATTGAGGAAAGAGGGCTTGTTGAGCAATGGCTAGAGGTTGAAGCACACAACTTCCCCCCACCACTCTACAACTTAGTCCTTCACATTTTGTTTGCCTCAGCGTTNGATCCCAAGGTCATTCAAGAGAGTGAAGAAAAGCTAGGGAAGGTGTTGGACATTTATGAGGAGCGGCTGTCAAAGAGCAAGTACTTGGCTGGTGATTTCTTCAGCCTCGCTGATCTTAGCCACCTTCCATTTACTCAGTATCTGGTAACTGTTTTGGGGAAGGAGTATCTGATAAAGGACAGAAAGCATGTCTCTGCTTGGTGGAATGATATTAGCAACAGACCATCTTGGAAGAAGGTCCTCGAGTTTGGTGCCCCATTTTAAGGCAGATGTATTTTTGCATACAGCGGGTGCGTACAATGTTTTTCGCATAGTCATGTCATGTGAACGTTCCGAGGGAAGTTATTGTGAGAAGAGCATTATATTCACTATGATA